ATACCTCTTTATACATACATACATATGTATATATATATATGTATATATATATATGTGTACACAACCAGATACATATATATATATATATATATGTATATATGCCATCCAGCATGTATGTGCATGTATGCAAGAGCAGAGACAGACCCACATGCCCATACTATATATCTATCTATATATATATATATATATATACTTAGCACAAACATCAAAGAAAGAATGCATGAAACCGACCCTTCCCCAGCGCACTGCCAGCTCCATCATCAGGCTTGCGCTTGGAACCTGGCCAGCCGAAGTGCACTTGTTTCTTCAAACTCGAGCAGAGCTACATATCACGCATCGATGACATATCTATTTCATGATCCTTGTCAAGACATCTATAGAACTTAGAAATGCTTTTCCACTCTGTCCCGTGTCTATAGAAACCATATATATATATATATATATTTACATATATACTTACCATGAACCGACAGAACACCTAGAACACCCATAGTAGCTGCACACATCACTCTACACATACCTAGACAATCACAGCACATCTAAATAACATGTATATATGTATATATATATATATGTATGAGACGTATGTGTAATGCTTTGTGTGCACATGTGAATCCTACTGAACTACCAATACTAAAGCCCGAAATGAAAAGACATACCAAGTGCATGCATGGAGCCTATAGAACAGAAACAATTCTATAGTTATCACACATGCACCAACAGATACATATTTGCCCAACCCTCCCCCGAATGTAAAGACATGGCGAGCCTTGTAGTATGGCATTCTTCCGGGCATCATCTCCTGTAGCAGCACGACAGATATATGCAGTAACACAGTATTTCTCTTGCCCCCCGCGCTGTATGACAATCGAGCACCCCAGCTGCAAGTTGCAAAGCTTCCCACCTGTATCCGAGAAGGAAGCTAGCTTCAGCAGCCGCTTGTTGCCAGGCATTGGTTGAGACCTCACCACACCACTCAACTCAAACATGTGAGTTGCACTGACTCTTGTCGATGGGCTGAATGCACATGAACTGAAGCTTTGAGAAATGCTCATACAAACAGCTCTTTCTTTCCAAGCACACATGAAGCTCTGCGAAGTCATATGGAGGGCCCCAGCTGGCATGTAAGGTTTGCAAGCTATGCACACCACAGTACCCTCCAGTCAGTCGTAAAACCACTGGCACAAAAGCAGGCAAGGTCTACAGGCTGGCCTGGTCTTGCCTCCCCTGTTGGGTGTAGCCACAACCGCACTATCCCTACAGAATGCCATTCCTCCATCTGAAGGTCCAGGCATGTCCAGTCTCCATCTGCTTTGAAAGACCACTTTTCACACTTCACTTGAAGTCTCGTGGACCTGGACCATGCTCCGACCTCCATGTGAAAACAGGCTCGCATGAGCTTTGCTCACGGCCAAACTTCTCCGTACTGCTCCTCAAGCTCTGAACGGAAGTTCCGGATGGTATCGGTCATTTCCTCACCATGGATAGTCATATCGCGATCCAACAGGGAGACCTGAGCAGCTCACAATACACACATGATTTGGATTACCCATCCTTCAGGCCAGCATCTCACTACATATTGAATCTGGACCAGGGCACAATCTCGTTGGCCACGAGGACGCCGACCTTCAAGTTTTTGAAGGACATGCTCCAGACCTGTGGGCCGTTCTTCTGGCGAACTCCAACCACACTCCTGGTCCAATACAGCTCCAGCTTGTAATTCCGCCCATGCCGAACCAACCTGCAACTTTGTGACACACAGACTGTACGCACCTGGATCAGCACAGTTCTATTGCTTTGCATGTATGTGCATGGTTGTGTGTATACATATATATATATATATATGAGTACATGTATTTATACACATGTACACTATACGACTGTATATGTATATACCTTGTTGGATACATTATATATATCTCTCTCTCTCTCTCTCTATATATATATATACATATATACATAGAGCATATCAGAAGAGATGCATGTGCGAAAGCTACATGTCGGAGTAGACATGTATGTGTATAAATATATATGAACATATACATACACACATTTCTGTCACTATATATCGGTAGGTATATCTACATATAGATATATAGATGCAGAGATCACATCACATTGGCCAGCGACGACTCAGCCACCCCCCCTGCATACATGACACACTGCAAAGAAGCAGCTGAAACACCTCAGTCCACATGATTGATGTCGAGCAAAGGGACAAGGCTTTATATAGACAGACATAAAAGGTGTAGGACATGTGTACATGTTTCTACCCAGAGCAGAAATCCCATGCATGAATTTGGTGATAGTTGAGGGTTGAACGACCGATCACACAACTATCTGAATTAAACTATTGTTTGTTTGAATGCTAGGCTGCATGAACGAACGGCATTGAATGTCAATAAATCCCTGAATGTCTGCATGAATGATTGCATGCAGGGATGGGCCAATGCAGAAATGTGTCTATGTGTTCGTGCATGCACGTGTGTATGTCCGTTCATGCCAATATGTATACGAATGTCTACATGCATGGACAGAAAATCATATCTGCATGTATACATTTGTGCACATGTTTATGCACACATTTCTATGTATATATATATATATATATATGCATGGACTTGTATGCTTGTATATCTGTGTGTTTATATCACACATAGACACATGTTATATGCATATTATACATACACTCCTCAATGTATATATAGCTTCAAGTTGCCAGGTCAAAGGCTTCAGTCCCCCCCAGGCAGCGATACCACATGTATACATATATATATATATATGCATGTGTGTATATATATATATATATGTGTGTGTGTGTCAACATGTTGTGTTTCAACTGCTCTATATTGCATAGATCATGGATTGAGTGTGTGTGTATATATATATATATAGATAGATAGATATTATATTATACATGCTCACACACTAGACAAGTAATATACTGGTGTTGCAATGATATACTCTGCACTTCTGTATTCTCCATAGTATTTTATGATACATAAGCAGGTATATGTAGATTTATATATAGTATATATATATATATATATGTACTATAGTGCAGCAGACAGAAAATGCACATCAGGTTAACAGCTTGCACAACACTTAAAGCAGACAAGCAGCTCCTTGCAAATCTTCCGATTCTCATCGGAAAGGCCTTTTGCAGAACGTCCCCGGCCACGACCGCGGCCGCGGCCGCGACCGCGGCCAGGAGGTGGCACGACCTCCTCCTCCGGCTCATCCTCACCTTCCTTGGCCACCTCCTGCTGAGGCTGCATGCCCTCTTGAGGCGATGGCTCAGGCTCTCTGGGCTCCATGGTCTCATCTGCATCGGGCTCGTCGGGCTCTGCATCAGCCGATGGCTCAGCAGCTCTGCTGGGAGCTGCCTGTCGACCCCTGCCTCTGCCCTTGCCCTTGCCACGGCCGCGGGAGCGACCGCGACCACCAGCACCACGAGCACGATTGGCCTCCTGCTTCTGGAGGCGCAAGTCTGCCGGTGGACGAATGGCTCAGCGTCCACCTGCAGCAAATCTTCCCCATCACTTCCATGGACCGATGGCTCTGGCGCCAAAGCCTCCAATGGCATGGGACCACAAACCCCGGAACTCCTCTGCACTCTCCATCTCCGGCTCCGGCTCCTCCGCAATCATTGGCTCATCTGCATCCTCAAGCAAGGTCTCCATGCATGGGCCATGCATCGATGACGATGCCTCTTCGACACGAGCCATCGGAGCAGCATGGTTCATCACATCTTGCTCCTCTGCATACACAGCATCAAAGTCCATCGCCAAAGATCGGTGGATGCCGGAGGATGGCCCAGACTCCTGATTGTTCCCCTCACTCCATGCGGTGGCCTTGCTAACCATGTCCTCATCATAGAACCGGGTCGCATCCACTTGCGTGAGGTCCAGATCATCACTCTCAGATCCACCCCTCAGGACAAGCAAATGAAAGGCAGTACACATGTAGTAGAGGATATATATATATGTATATGTATGTGTATATATATATATATATATATACTGATATTTAAATTTGTCGGATGTAACACACAATATATGTACTATATAGAGATATGTATGTATATGTATAGGGTACAATATATTCTATGTGTGTGTATTCATTTTAATGTTGATATGGATGCAGTTACAACGATATGACTTTTACAAACAGATAAAGCTATGTGATGAATGTATGCGTATGTATAGATTTGTGAGTTGATCAATATCCTGATTTGATGTCCACCAATACATATATGTATATATATATATACATATGTACTTATATTGGCTGATATACAGAAGCAGACTCATCTTTATATCCTGGTGTGCTACATATTCGCATATCTTTTTATATATATATATATATATATATATATATATATACATAGTACAGATAGATGGGGCGAGAAAAGAGTAACAAGCGAAATGCCACATGTGCTGCACACACTCAGCCTCACATGTATCAACCATGCAGCACACATGAGAATTCTCAAGCCATGTCTCAATAGACCAGAAAGCGGTCCCTTATAAGTTAATATATCTAATTGTGAAGAACTCTATAAGAACCTGTTCCGAAGAAATATGTATGTATATATATATATATATGCAAGGTATCATTGGATGTAGACTCCGATCAGCACATTGAGCCACATTTGATTTCCCAGTGTGACACTTAACCAAAGCTAGCACACAGGAGAAATATACAAACCACTTACACACATAAGCATGCTGACTTGAACATCAAGTTTATGCTTATCGCAGAAGCAGCACCCATATGACAACACCATGCACATACCAGTACACATGTATATGCTACACCGCATCCCCCCCAATGATCTAACTCGGTATCGATCTTGTCTACCAGCCCCTTATATCTGGACTCACTGTTGCTACCAAGTCACATGATAGCAATATGATTCGAGCACTTGTATGCGCAAATACCAATCTGCAAATCTCTCCAGTAAATATGAAAGAGACAGGGTGCATTTAAGTGAAGCTTCATGCTCTATATACCATTGCAATATGAAGATGCTTGCTGAAGGCAAGGGTCGGCTTGCCATGCTCCGGCGTGTCCTCGATGCTGATCTGGCTGGGGAAGGCCTCTAGCAGCACTCGCAAATAAGGTGTTTGAGGGTAGAGCATACAAATTACACAGGAAGTGAAGCATTGCCACCTCACGGGAGGAGCCATTGAGCAACCTCTGTCTCTTCAAGCTCTCCTCAGCTATGCTCACAGCATTCGAAAAGCACTCAACCGAAATTCAATTTCCAATAATCAATGACATTGATGGCCATGGAGCACCGGCTTCAGCTGGAAGCATCGGACAGGTGTCCACATTATCCACCATGGATCCAAGCATGATCCTATGCAGCCATAAAGTCAAAAAACCTGCATCTAGAATGAGACACCACTTTAGACTTGTAATATACACCCCACTGTCCTCTCCCTTTGCGCGTGCAACTTCGCGAGAAGGTGCTGCTTGACTTCATCGACAGATGCTGGGCCTCAACATCAATAATCAGTCACAAAAGATACTATGTGCACATGTATGGTCATGCATCTATGCAGATTTACTGCCTAAGATGTTGTATGTGCTCCCAATGCAGCATGCAACTATCACCACAAAGCATATGCCTGTACTGAAGCCATTTGAAGAAAGATGATATATACACCAACCTATTCGAGATAGACTGCATGAACAAATCCATCTGCTCTCGATGCACTTCCGGGTTTGTTCATTTGCGGATTATATATATATATATATATATATATGTATGCTTTGAATAGTATATAAGTGTGTATATGTATATATATATATATATATATATATATATATATGCATCTGTTAATAACCATAGTAATACGATCATTATATATATATATATATGTATAAACATTATATACTGCATAACTTGTGCATAGACAAGAGACACCGACATGAGGTTATATATTTATGTTTATACAACTACAGAAACTGAGTGTGTGTATTATATATTATATATATATATATATATATATATAACTTTCTTCTATATATATACTTGTTATATACAAATACCGGTTGAGATAGAGAGAGAGAAAAAGAGTGAGAGAGACAGAGCAAGAGAGAGAGAGAGAGAGAGAGAGAGAGAGAGAGATAGAGATATGCAGCAATAGAACAACTCAGCATGTCTGCATTAACACATGTTGAAGCAACACAAGACTGAAACTGTCTGAATGCAAGCATCAACATTGCACCAAAGTCCATGCTAAGCTCATGCACGTGACCTGCATGCGAATCCTCTGCTGCATCAGGAGCTGCTTCCACACGCTCCGGAGTCTCAGGCAAGCCTGAGGAAACACTGATCTCCCCAAAGATGGGGTCATCCAGGCCATGCCCACCACTTGCAACCGGCTCTGGCATCACCTGCATCTCGGGCACCATCGGCATCTCTTCATGCTCAGCGGAAGATCCGGTCGCAGGCAAATAAGGGCACACCAAACCATCCAATGTCTTCCACTGGCCCACATAGGGATCGTAGTGAGCACCCTCTTGCACAGCCCCACACAGCATCAAGGCTGCACCATAGCCATAGAGCCGTGAGAGTCGATCAAACCTTTCATGGACAGTCTCCAGCTGCTCACTGCTCGAAGCCGGGGCACGGTCACTGCTCGAAGCCGCCGGGGCAAGGTCACTGCTCGAAGCCGCGGGGGCAAGGTCACTGCTCGAAGCCGCTGGGGCATCCAAACATCCACCATCCAACTCATCATCTGGCTGGGTGAAGGTGTCCGGCATCACATAGTCTTGGGCATCTTGGACAGGCGGAAATTCCACTGCCTCATCTGCCACTTCGCGATGCAGCGAATCCATCAGCGGAGGCATCTCCTGCTCAGGCTCAGCAGGCGGAGCTCCCGCACCTGCAATCGCAGGCACCTCCGCTGCAACTCCACCTGCATCCGCCAATGCCAAATCGCCACCCTCAGGAAAGGCTTCAGCAGACTTCCTTTTCTTCCAAAGGGCCCGAATGCGGTTCTGCACCTCCAGCGCTTCGGGATCCATGCCGCTGCAAATCTTGATGACATAGGGCACTTCATTGGCCTCCATCTGCCGTGCCACCTCTCGAAGCCTCACCTTCAACACCCATTTATTCCACACCACAACTGCATGCATGAGAAAATCATGCAAGCCCGATGCATAAATGTCTGATTGCAGCTGTGATGCAGTAAGCCTCTGCACATCCACATCTCGCTGATTATCAGAACGATCAGCGAGTCCTTAAACTCCGAGTCCTGTCCCTCTATCTGTGCAGCCGATACATGGCATAGACTTCTCTACTGGTGACAGGCAAGTTATAACATGGCCACAAGATGATAAGCATATCTATACATCCATCGATAAACATATACCTATCATATTTACCTGTCAACAAAGTATGTATAAACATTTCGTGTACATATATTTGTCTGTGTATATATATATATATATATTTGAATTTAATGCTACATGTATATGTTTATTTAAGTATATGCTATATTTTCTGTATGTGTTCAGGACTATAGGAGCAGAGGAAAGTTGTGGACACATGTACATGAATGTCAAAGTTGTATACTGTTTGTGTATGTATATATATATATATATATACGTCTATGTTCATGTTATCCTCAATACATGAGTCTATGACGAGCATCGGCGATGGCAACACACCAGTGCCTTGATGGCATGAGCATCTGGGTTGATGCAACCAGCATCGATCTTCACCTGGCAAATGTTGTACCCCAACCTTTAACCCAATATCGTAGTCTCAGTCTTTCCTACAATAACAGAGCACCTCCTTCTTCGCGACATTGAGGTGTCTCATCTGCATGGCGGGCGAGATAACACAGAAATAAGTAAGCACACGCAGAACTCCTACCACCAAGTATATTACCATGCTACTGACCCACCTTGATCTGCACACGAAAGGAAGACATCATGGATTCCAAGACATTGACATACAGCAGGGCATAATGCTGGAGGTTGCGGCCCACGATCGGAGCAAGAAGTGCCTTGGAAAGGCATCCCTATGTATAGGGAACAATTGGGATTCTACATTGATCGAAGATATAGGGTAGGAGCCAGGGCACTTCATTCAATTTGCAAGCCAGCGCCGTTGGGATGCGCTTCTGCCCTTTGCCATCAGCCGGCCATTGAACAAAACACTTGTCATTCATGGCCAAGGAGGCCAACGCGGGGACCTCATCCCACTCCTGAACAGCAATGACCATTGGAAAGCATACAGCCCCTTCTGATGACACAGACTCTCGGCTCAGTGGCCTTCATCACATCCTTCACGAGGATGGAAAGGAGCCTCTGCGAAGGACCATCGTCCGTCTCGGCGATCGGTCCCGGCTCCATGGCACCACAGAGACAAAAAGGAACAGCTCGGAAAAACACAAGCCTGAAGCTGCCAGCAGAAGACAGAGGCATGAAAGCACAAGCTGCAAGAAGCTTCAATATTGTCCAGCAAGAGCAAGAGCTGCTTTCAACAATGCTGGGCTCCAGGCCCCCATCAGTGCCACGCTCACAAAAAGTGCTGCAGTTTTGGTGTCCCACATCTTGTATTTAATTGAATGCGATTCTGTCTTGGATATAAGCTCAGAAAATCACTGAAAAGATAGGTGATTCTGCCAAGACGAAAGTACATCTCTGGCTCTGCTTGCTCATGCATGGTTTGAGAACATGTCCGATGATGGTCACACATCTGCAATCAAACGCCCAAGATCTCACCTGCACTTGCTCAGCTGCACTGCTAGCAAACTTGAAATGCAGACATTCATGCATGCATATGCATATATATATATATATATATGTATATGTATATGTTTATGTATATGTTTATGTATATGTATATGTATATGTATATGTATATGTATATGTATATGTATATATCTGATGAACCATCTCACTGGATATCGAATATGCCATTACCCACATGTATGCATGCTTCACTACACTCAAAAAGCACGAAAACTGTGAGCAGAGCAGACCACTCGACTGGAGACACCCATATTTCTTCATCCATCTGCGAAGCAAGCAGGGTTGCACAACAGATCATTCGGCTAGAGACACATATCTTTAATCTTCAACCATTTGCGAAGCAAGCAGGGTTGCAGAACAGCTCATTCGAATGGGGGTACCCACAGAATCTTCATCCGTCTTCGAAGCAAGCACAACTCATTCTGCTCGAGACACACATATAGAATCTTGATACATCTGCATTTGCGAGGCAAGCAGGTGTAACAGAGGCACTCTCGTCTCTCTCCACTGTGTGTGTTTGTGTGTAATTATGCATTCGACCTGAAACATGTGTTTATGTTGTCATGAAGTGCAGCATGGCCATGTACATATACAATCCTTGTATATCTTGGTGTGTATGTGTAAGTGTACATGTGTGTACCCATGATTTGGCCAACACATACTATGCTTTGGACCAGCATTTTCAAGAACTAGTTTCCCAGGCCAAAAAGAAACCAAATCCTCCTCAAAACCATTTTGTGCACACAAAAAGTAGGAAACCAAAATAAACCCCTACAAACCAATGTCCAGGTATGTGTGCTAGCTAACCTATTTCCACTCGAAGCTATTGAAGGGCTTCGCTAGAAACGGAGTTTCGTTCGCTATCGTCGATCGCAGGAGAGTTGCCTCTGACATGCGGAGACAGGATAGCTGTGACTTGGAATGGCTACGAACGTGTATGACCGTGGCCATTCTGGATAAAGTCCCCCATCAGGGGGGTAATTTTGAAGTAGAGCGGGGAGAGAAGGCGAACTTGGCTAGCTAGCCAAGCGAGAATGGCTGCCTCTCCCCGCACCCCCTCTGCTTCGCAGTGATTCGGCTAGTCCTGGGGGAGAGCAGCTGGAGAGTCCGTCCATCCTGCCGACGGTTTTACCGAGCGAGCAGGATGCGGGACCGAGTTCTCCACCCGGTGGGATAGGGAGTCCCATTGCCCTTCCGTCCTTGAGGGATAGCGCCTTGGTGCAGAAGCGTGCGCTGCTGGATAGGTGCCACGAGCACCTAGCCTGGCGTCGCGGGGCTTCGGTGTACTCGAGCTGGCTACCCTTAGTCTTGAGGACGCGGAAGAGGTCGGGCACCAGGTAGCTGAGGAACTCGGCGTGGGCTACGACGAGTACATCGGGGACTCGATCTATCTTTGGATACAGGAAGCCCGTGAAGCCAGAGACCTTGTTGAGAGGACCTCTGGCTACAGGGCTACCCCGCTGGCCTGGATCAACCTCAGCAAGCGGCCGGCGATTGAAGGGATAGACCTTCAAGAGGATAGCGAGCCAGAACCTCCGAAGGGGGATAGGCAGAAACGCTTGGTCAACGAGGGCTCCCTGGCACAAGCGAGAGAAGAACGGCTACAGGCTACTTGGGCTACCAGGCTGAAGGAGGAGCTAGAGCTTTGCAGGGCGCTGGTCCTGAAGAAACTTCAGGGCAGCCTGGACCCGGATAGAGCCAAACTGGCGCTAGCCGGGAAGACTCGGGCTAGTACTCTCAAGCGCTACGTCTCCATCTACGCCCGTTGGCGCCTGTGGCTAGAGCAGGCGATAGAAGAACCGTCCCGGAGGCTATCCTCAAGGCGGTTAGCTGGATAGAGCGAGTGGCGGAGTGGTCGGTCGAGGCTAGAGCAACCTCTGGTCGGATATAGCATGGGCGATCAAGGACACGGTGGTCGAGAAGCTATCGTGGAAGGCGCCTTGACAGGCTATGATCCCCAACGGGCTATAACCATGGTGGAAGGCAGGCTATCGACGATCTTGAGGCGAACCAAGACGACTGGGCCGCTAACAGGCGCATTCGGGAGCTACTCGGAGAGGGCATTCTTCGAGGACCCTGGTTGGGTAGTTGCGGGCCTGCTGAAGAACCACGCCGGCTACCCCCGGGGCTACCTCATGCCGAGGCTAGCGGAGAAGGGGACTTTGGAGAAGAAAATGGCTACCTATGCGGATGCCATGGTGGCGACGGCGGGTCTACTGGCGATGGTCGGGATACCGATCGTGGCTCCGACCAGTAGCAGTCCTTCCTACAGGGCTAAGCCTGAAGCCCATCCTCCCGGAGGATAGAGACATGCTGGGGAGATGGAAGCCCGACCATCTACGCGGAAGCGGCGAGAGCCCGGGATCGGGAAGCGCAGCTAGATGAGAGAGAGATTGCCGGCAACCTCGGTGGCTGGCTACTTCGAATGGGCAAGGCTAGCGGACCCGACGCCGACAAACTTGCAGGAGAGCTGCGGCGCGAGTGGGCGAGCGAACGGATTGTCGAGCTAGTGGATGGCCCGGGGCTACCTGAAGAAGTCGCGGCGAGCGAGCCTCCCGAAGATAGACCTGAAGATTCGGCTAGTGAGCCAGAGTTGGGTCCGGAGCAACACCGGAGCCGGCCGAGGCAGCTACTTAAGAAGGCTAGGCGCACTAGCTATATAATAGCTCACAGGAGTTCTCGGCTAGACCGGAGACCGACCAGTACACGCATGTTTGCAGGCTATGTTGGCCGAAGGGCCAGCGAGAAGGACCCCAGTCTAGTGATAGCGACACCTCTCAGGCTAACACAGGCGACGAGAGACCTGGGCCCTGTGGAGCTGCTAGGGGGACCCCCAGGGATATTTCCCCAGTTTCCCGTAGCACCACTACCGGCCAGCCCGTTTGGCTGGGGGCTACCGTTCACGAACTGAGTGGATAGATGTGCCGGAGGAACAGTGGGGCTAGGGCGACGGGGGGGGGGGATACTTGGGGGGGTGCCTCTCGGGATACACTCTTTCCTTCCCATCCCTCGAAACCGGGAACCTTAGGGATAGAAAGAAGGGAGAGAGGAGAGAATCACGTTCTTGCACTTGTGCTGCTTGTTGTGTGTCTGGCTAGGGCGTAGGCTGCGAGGTTCTGAGGCAGGCTAGTCGGCATGTGCACATGCGCGGTGCTTGTTTGTTGCTGTCGGCTAGGGCTTTGCACAAAAGAAACCGCCGTGGCTACTGATGGCTAGAAGGGTGGAGTAACGGCCCACCGAGTTCAGGAGAGCCCATGCTAGGGGCGAGCCTTTGCCGCTTGCGGCGGGATAGCAGCACCATGGATAGGCCCGCCAACTGGGCGGACCAGTCGGAGCAGGCTAGCGTGCTAGCCCAGAGGATAGAGATCCTCCCAATGCTAGAAGTCGATCCGGCTAGCCTTTTTCGGAGCAGCTCTACGAGAGGCTAAGTCTGGATAAGCAGCATGAGTTGCTGCAGCTAGTCCGGAAGGCCAGGGGTATGCGGCTAGCAGAGTACCAAGAAGGGGCTAGCGTCCAACCTGGAGGCAGGGTCTCTGCCAGGGTAGTGAAGTACCAGAACGCCAAGTCCTGGGGCGATATTCCCTATGAGCTAGAGGCTACCCTCTCGACGACAGAGGCCCAGTACCTGGAGCAGAGGATAGCCAAGAACCGCGAGTTGGCCAGGCGAGACGCTAGAGGAGTCCTCCCAGAGCGACGAGATTCAGGGGTCAGAGGAGGCCAGCACGGGGGATAGGAAGCCGGCTAGGGACCCTACACCCGGAGAGGCTTTTGGCAAGCCTGCCAAGTTGGTTAGAGACCCTGCAACGGTCCAACAGATCCAAACCAAGAGCAAGAAGAATTTCCTGGCTAGATGCATGCAAGGCTACCGTGGACCTCCTGGCGATGTCCCGGCCTACGTGGCTAGGATGGAGCAGGTCTACCGGATAGGAACCTTCCAAGAGCCAGACCCCGACGAGCTGGAGAGCACAGAGGATAGACCGAGGGGTCGGCGACCCGTCCGTTCCCCCGCGTCCGGCCGCAGGCTAAGAGTGACTCCAGGGGCGAGGCAAGGATGGCTATATTCACCCGGAGGCCGAGTGCACCCGGTGGCCGGCCACTACAATGAGGCCCAGGGAGGCTATGGCCAGCGACGGCGCCTGAACTAACGTCAACCTGGACCAGCCACACATGCTACAGAACTCCAAAGTTCTGTGCTTGTGTGGAGATGCAACCTGGTTGATCCTGCCAGTAGTCATATGCTTGTCTCAAAGATCAAGCTACGGAGCCAGAGGCCGTGCATCGGCTAATGGCACCTCCCCCGACGGCCAGCCAGGCCCAGGGGGTGACCCTGGGGGCCCCGAAGGGGGCATGATAGATCAGACTTGGATTTTTCTTCACCGCAGAGAGTGGCCCTTCAAGAGCTACGAGAAGGGGGGCCGCCAGGATAGAATCTTCTCGCAGATGGCGGATAGAGGGCGACAGCCCTACAAGGGAGGGATACAAGACCCTCCATGGCTATATGATCTAACCGATGACGACTTCATCGCGGTTAGCAAAAGAACGGATAGTGCCAGAGCCCTCGTGGATAGAATCCCGGATACGGGCTGGATAAGATGCCGCAAGGGCGGTGTCACGCCCGGGATAGGCCGCTGGGATCCAGCCGGTGCTATCTTTCGATGTATAGTTGTTTGTGACGAGTGTGGGCTAGAGCAGTGCAACAAAAGGATGTGGCATTGCCTGGATACGCACGGGGATAGAGGTCATACGTGCAATGACTGCCGACCTGGCCCGGCTAACAGAGTGGCTAAGGGCAGGGGCAGAGGCCACAACCCTAGCCCGTGGATAGCACCAGACGTCCGGCGAGAGAGAAAAAGAGGGAGAGCGCTCGCACCGGAACAGTTTGTGTCGGCTAGTGCTTTCGGCAGCCAGAAAGAAGAGAGGGACAGGCTAAGTTTTTTTCAGGAGAGTGGAAAAACCTTTGGGAGCTTGTCGGGGGGGGGGGACTCCGGGTCTCGTCGGTGGCTCCTCCCTCTTTCCCAACTCTCTGGCTATGTGTGGGGGGGGGATCCTCCTTCTTTCCCAACACGGGTCCTTTCGGTGGATCCTCCCTCTTTCCCAACTCTCTGGCTAGTGGGGTGGAAAATCCTTGTACCCGCGATGGCTAGAGCTTTTGATTTCAAGAACTTACTGTAGCTTTGGACTTCAGCTAGCCCGCTTTCTGGGCTACGCCACAGCATGGCGGATCCGGCAGAGCTAGCGAAGGGCTCCTCTGATTTCCGCTACCTTTTGACCCAGAACCGGTGCCGGATACGTCCCAGGCTACCTTGTTCAAAGCCGGGATAGACACGATATCAATGACGATAGCGAAGTTTTCGGCGAGTTTCAATGGCGAAACCGATTTGAAATCGGTGCTAGTCAAGGACTTCTCGATAGAGCCGGAGAGCACACTTGCTAACAGGGCGCTAGCAGCTGCCTTTGTGGTGGCCTGGAGAGCGGCCCAGGCGCGAACCCGCGAGCAAGCGGATAGAGAAGCGGCTAGCGAGGTCCGGGAGTGGGCCAAGCCCATTCCTCAAACGGAGTACATGGCTATGCGCCAGTCCTTCGCACAGAAGTTTGGCGAGCCTGAGGATAAGCATGTTCCGGCGAAGGAATATATTGAGCGAAAGCTGCACGAGCTAGAGACGGGCGAGTCCTGCCAACCGTCGGCTACAAGTTTTGTACCTCTTCTCGGGTCGGGAGAGGCAGGGGAGCTTTCAGTGACATCTCCGACGGCTAGCGTCCACTTTCGGCTTCGATGTGGATATCTCCTGCGTGGATCTGGCTAGAAACCCTCCGACCGACTTGGCTACATCCAAGGCGAGGGCCAAATACCTCACCCTGGTCCAGTCGGGCTCCTATGACATCGTGGCTATGTCCCCGCCGCAAAGGTCCCAGGCCAGTTCGCAGCTTCGACGAGCCGCGGGATTGGCTAAGCTTACGGCAAAAGAGCGGGACCGGGCTATTCTTGGTAACATTTTTGCTGATTTTTCTTTTGAGATAGCTAAAGCGGCCCTCGCCTCTTGGAGCAACCAGAAGATCTCGGGGCTATGCCGGCAGGCCCCCACAAAGGGCAACGACCGGCTAGCATGTGGCAATGGTCGGCTCACACCCAGCTCACCGGCCAGGGGCTACGCTCCGTCGCACTTCATCTGGATAATTTCGGTGCCACGTCGGCGAAACCGACAAGGTTGCTGCTCAAGACTCCATTGGATATGCCGGCTACTGTACATGAAGACCTTCCCACCTTCGATGACACAGGTGGCTACTTGGGGCCTTAGCCGCCTTCGGCTACAACCGCGGCTAAACAAAGCCCCATGCTGGCTACAGCTGCTCTCGGCGAATGGCCCTCAGACTTTGCTCGTTGGCTAGCACAACTCGCTCTGGCTACCTGCGCGGCGACTGCTACGACCGCCTCCGGAGAGGGAGAAGCTGCAGGATACGTTGGACTCCGAAGAACTGGGCTACATCACGAACCAACCAGAGGGACCACGGCTACAGGGCGGCCAAGGACCACCGAGGCGATGCCACCAGAACGATGGGATAAAAGAGTTCCATGATGGTGGTGGGCTATGCTCCCCCGGCCGATGGCCACGGCATGCTCGAGGGAGAATCCTGGAACTGGCTGTGGGCTAAGATCCGGGAGATCGTGGTCCGGCGAGCGGGCTCCGAAAATGAACTCTTCCGTATGGCTATGGGGGGCGAATCCGGATGCAAACTGGTCCGGGATAACCAGCTACACGAAAACCTCCTACACCTGCTCCAGACCTGGATAGAAGGCCAGGACCTCAGTGAGCCCAACCTGCTAGAAGTTCCTCCGGGTACGGCTACGACTAGGGCGATCTGGATAGAGACTTCCTGCGCCGGGCCTACGAAGGCCTGCCTTTGGGGATACTGGAAGGGCTACCTAGGACCCCGCACGTGTTCGAGGAGCAGACTTCTTGGGAGCCGGCGCTAGCCTGGGTGCCGAACTACTCCTCGGTGGGCGATCACCGGGACTTCGTGCGGGCTAAGTTCGACGAGGACGTTGAAGAGGGCCTCATGGAGAAGATGCTCGGCGAGTTCAAGGCGAGGTTTGGCGAGCACAGGGCTACCGTGAGGATCCAAAGGCGTGTTTTGCGCACGAGCGTACACAATATACACGAGCGTATAGTCAACGCCGTGATTTGTAGCGTATACGCTGCGTATATGATATACGCTGCGTATATAGGTTATACGCTGCGTATACGCAAGCCATACATATTTGCGTTGATACATATAATGCATCAATGTGCATGCGCTGATGCAGAAAACGCTTGCGCTGATGGCGTTTACTGGCCAACTTCACGCTGATGCGAAAAATGCTTGCGCTGCTATATACTGGTCAACTGCTATACTTTCAGCAGAAACTTATTGTAACTGTAACACTTAAGTGACGTTAATTCTTTTTCCCATCCATCCTAAGATGGTGCACACATGCGCTGATGCGAAAAATGCTTGCGCTGATGGCGTTTACTGGCCCATGCGCTGATGCGAAAAATGCTTGCGCTGATGGCGTTCACTGGCCAATTGCGCTGATGCGAAAATGCTTGCGCTGATGGGGCTTTCAGCAGAAACTTATATTGTAACACTTAATGTATTTATAATTCTTTTTTACCATCGTAAGATGCTATACACACATGCGCTGATGCGAAAAATGCCTGCGCTGATGGCGTTTACTGGCCCATGCGCTGATGCGAAAAATGCTTGCGCTGATGGCGTTCACTGGCCAATTGCGCTGATGCGAAAAATGCTTGCGCTGATGGCGTTTACTGGTCAACTGCTACTTTCAGCAGAAACTTATATTGTAACACTTAATGTGACGTTAATGTTTTTCCCATTCATCGTAAGATGGTGCACACATGCGCTGATGCGAAAAATGCTTGCGCTGATGGCGTTTACTGGCCCATGCGCTGATGCGAAAAATGCTTGCGCTGATGGCGTTTACTGGCCCATGCGCTGATGTTGAACAACACGTGTGCTAGCTGCCGCAATAGCCAACAACGTGTGCATTCGAGCCGATTGTAATAACACTTGCAACATTTGAGCCAAGCTCGGTTTTCTATAGGGTGACTTGAGCCAACATTCGAGCCAAACTCATTAAGGTTTGTAGGGTGCTATATGTGCACACATACAATCATGCATATGTGTGTGTGTGTGTGACGAAACTTAGGGATTTCTTTATGCGGGTAATATGATAGCATATATATAAGCCAATATGATTGCGCATTCTCTTGTGACTCGAATGTGACAACGTTGGGAAATGAGAGGGTCATGGGAGATGTTGCATCACAGAAAGTTCTTGGGATTGCTTATAAGAATTGGCTTCATACGAAAAAAGGCTCCCGAGGCGATCTGCTTCTCATGGGCTTGAGGGTTTCGGGTTGAGGGCTTTTGGGGCATTCGTTTTGGGTCCGGCCGGCTATCTCAAAACCCGACCCGAAAATCCCGAACCCAATCTCATCAGGACCAGCTTTGCACACCCAAGGAAAGCTGTACCCTGAATCCTCTATGCAATCCCAAATCTTCGCGTAAACCGCATTCGAAAGCTTTTGCGCGAGGATCCGAGCCGTCACTTCGTCATTTAAATGCCCATGATGCATCGTCTCTTTGCATATTCGGCGCTAGAGCTGCTTAAAGGTCTTCTGTTGTCGTCGCACAGCAACAGCTCTTCGAGAGTCTCCTTTCCAGTAAGTGCAGCACCGGGTCCAGTAGATGCTCTTTTTGCTCGCTCCCATGACAAAGCCAGGTACAGCACATAGCGCTGTTGTACACGCAGCATCATCGAAACCGAATGGCACTTCACAGCGATCTTTTTCATCTTCCCCATGTACGATTCTGAGTTGAAGTTTTGATGTATACGCACGTTCACTCGTGTCGATGCCACATACAGACCAATGTGTTGAAGATAATGGTGTTTGGGACGGATTTTGCACAAAGCGATGCCCAAGGCCTCAAACTTCAAAGCCAGCCGCTGCCACGTCCGCAGGTGCAATTGAACCAGCCCGTTGAACCTTGTAGAATCCTGCTCGGTCATCAATAAGTCGGAGTTGTCCAACAATCGTTGGGCCTTATTGAGTGCTCGTACCACTACTGCCATCTGCAGCAACTCCTCATCCTCGTGCAGTGAGAGACGAAGCAGACAGGCGAGAGAGACACAGAGAGAGAGAGGGAGAGAGGCGAGGAACCTAGGGGGAGGGTACAAATATCTAGAAATACGGAAATTGATGACATGATGCTTGCCCGATATATGAAGGTCCTGAACATTCTGCAACACCATCTGAAGCTTCCTTGCCATGCCCCACACCATGACCTTCATCTGTGCAGCTTTGAAGCTGCTCCCCATTTCCGGATATTCACTCCAGGACTCCAAGCCCGTGTTCGCAGGTGTCATTGCAGGCAAAGAGCAGGAAACCCTTCAGGCGGGAAGTTATGAACTATTGAAATAACAGAACACATAATAAGCTTAGAACAAAGTTTGTTCACCCCCCCCCGGGCGGCCCAGTCTCGCTCTTGCGCTCCTTCTTGATCCAGGCTGTAAGGCTCTTGAGCTCTAGGCGCAAATTCGTCATGGAAATCACACCCCGCATTGCCATCAGCTTGATAGCGGCAGCAACCACATCTCTTGCAATCCCCAGCAACACAATGTGCATCCAGTCAAAGAAAGTATTTTCAATCTTCCATCCTGGCATTGCCGTCCAGGGTGAAAGTTCGGCTGAAGGAGTTGTGTTGAGGTACATGTTGTGATCAATAGCCGTCAAAAGAAAGGGAGCATTCGCCGAAAAGTTCTTGAAGTTCATATCATCCATGTGTTTCTCTGTCGGCGTCTTCGCGCAACATCGGTCGCACAGCTGGATACAGTTGTAGTGGCGAGAGAAATAGTGACACTCCCGCCGGGCTTTCTGATCTCCACGAAATCCATAGAAGCACGCCCTCGGACCATCAGAGAGAAAGAGAGAGTGAGAGAGCGAGAGAGAGAGAGAGAGAGAGAGAAAGATAAAGAGAAAGAGAAAGAGAGAGAAAGAGAGAGAGAGAGAGAGAGAGAGAGAGAGAGAGAAAGATAAAGGCACGCCCTCAAGCCTGGGGAAAGAAAGAAAGAAAGATAAAGAGAAAGAGAGAGAAAGAGAGAGAGAGAGAGAGAGAGAGAGAGAGAGAGAGCGGCCCCCAAGTGCATGCCCACACACACAGAGCCACACATACACACACACACAGCTGCAACCCAAGAATCTTCCATTCACCAGCCAGCGCCGTGCCACTTCTTTTCGCACGGCACGACGTAGAAGGAAACTCTTCACCATAGAAGCCAGTCGATGGAAACTTTCCGCTTTGAAGGACTTTGAAAGACCAGCTCATCAGCCTCGCGATTTCCTTGTGCACGTAGTTCTTGACCTTCGAGTAGGCGATTTGCTTTCTGTGCGTTCGAGTTCAGTATATTAGCATGCGCACAAAAACCAGCAAATCCAACACAGGCCTGCTTCTGTTGCATAGCTTTTTGCGGGAGGATGCAGCACACGAACTGCGTTTCAAGGCAATCCACATCCAGCAATGAGGACAATGCACTCGAAAACGACCAAATGTTGTATTCGGAGTTCTTGTACATCTCTGCACCATCAAAGTGAATCAGCAACTGTATCATCTCGCTTAGATCGCAGCCGGCCAATGCCGGATGATCCTTCACTTCTTCCGGCACATATCGTTGCAAATGCCGCCAAAATTGCTTGATCGCAGCCGGCGAGTGTCGCCCCAGCATACTCAAACCAAACTGGCAGGGAACAAGGAGACATTTATACAGCATGACATACCAGTGAAAACGCGCACACACACACACACTTACTTATACTCAGGTGCACACATACGTGGAAGCACATGTAACCAACAGCATGCTCTTGCTGCTTGTCTTTCTCGTCCTCGCTCTCTTGCCCTTTCTTTCGGAAAACACACCACGTCTGTCTTTATTTGGCCCCCACTGAAACCTGATGGTCGCTTGAAGAGTGAATCGCAGAGAAGACCTCGTGTGGTAGGAGCACAGGTATCCGCGTGGATGCCGTCCCCTTCAAAGGGTTATCTTCCTGTTCACCAATGTCATCAATATCGGCATCGTCTTTTTCAAGCATGACATCTATGAAGTATGGTTCCAAAGTCACCCCGTACAAGCCTCGAAGCCACCTATGTAGGTCTCGCTCAGCATTCGACTCATGGGCACCGAAGGAGCCCAAACTTGCAAAAGCAGTCACGGCTTCTTGGGGTATTCCATCACGAACCATTGCAACTGCCAAACTTTGCGCATGAGCCACATGGCTCTTCCCACTACCAATCATTTCCAGAAGCTCTTCTGCTGCGTGAGAATGTGGCATCGCAGCATAGTCTTCTCTCCGACGAAAAGATTTGGGCCTGCGAAACGACACGACAGCAACATTGTAGCTGTACAAGCTATAAGCACACGACGATCACAACGACCAAACCTCGGCTTGGATAGGTCATCACCAGCCACGCCTGCAATCAACAAAGCAGAAACAACATCAGGATCCCTAAGCAAAGCCGACTGCCGCACATGCAAAGAGCCAGCACCACAGTCTTTCCACAGAGCCCTATGCACTTCTGCAAAACCATCTGCACATCTTGGCAAAATGAGTTTCCCAAGGCATTCGGTGACACGCATGGCACACTTCTCTCAGAATCATTCTCCCAAACTTCGGTACTTTACACAGCATGTGTGTGTATGCTGGGTTAAACAAAACACACACACAAATCCTCAAGTGTGCACGCATGTCCCTGTGAGGGGTCGCCGTGTGGCAAGCTCTATCCCACGTCAGAATGCTCTCGTCCCGACTCGTCACACATTGTGCAGCGCATCTTCAAGCCGCATCAGTCCGCTTTTGCGGAACTCTTGGCGGCCGCCTTCTTTGCTGCAGCCTTTTTTTTGGATTTCAATCCAGACTGCAGGCCGTTTGCTGCTGCCTGCGTGTAAGCAACGAATCCAAGCACATGCCCAATGTATCTACATGCTAGTTTGCATCCAACATCATATCATTGTGCCTGGGCTTGCTTGAACCATGGCTTCTTCTGATCCACCCACTTGATAACTTTCCTCAAGGCTTTTGTGTTTCCGTCTTTGTCCAGCTGACACATCTTCTTGTAGGCAGACTCCATCTGCTTCGAAAATTTGAGCAGCTGCTCCGATAGCTGGCCGCCGTAGTTCAGCTTGGTCAGGGTGATGGAGGTTTTGCGAGCCTCCGTGGAATCCTTCAGGATCTCGGTTTCCTTTTCCGCCACCTGCCTTGGAACAATTGACTATCAACCACGGATACCACATGCAGCCTTTATAAAGATTGAATTCTTGAATGCAATCAAGAAGCTCTTTCAGGGTCTTGGGCTTCATCTCCTCGGGTTCTTCCTTATTGTCCTTCCTCGGTTTTGGGATGCGCTTCTGCATCCCTCCCGCCTCGTCGAAGAGGCTCAGGAGAGCCTTCTCACCAGCCTCGGAGGCTGCATGCACAGCAGGCATACTGCCTGCCTGAAGCACATTGCCCTCTTCGAGAACCTTTGCCAAATCTTCATCCATCGCTTGATCCACCCGGAGGGTCTGAGACTCGCTTGTGCTGTTGTCAAGCCGCAGCAGGTGGCCCTTCGGCATATAATACCAAGCTTCCTCAGAAAGCCAATTCATATCCAGCAAAAACCCTTCTGCCACACTGACCGCAACCTAGACACATCCTCTTTGTCCGGGAAGTCTTTGTCTTTGTACCAACGTCCTTCGGCTTTTCTTGCGGCAATTACTTGCTTGTACATGGCCTGGCAAGCACACACGATATGTAAAGAAGCATGCACACAGACCGACGGTGCCTCGTCGGTGTACTTAGCCTTCAAGTCTTTCCCCTGGATGGCAACAACATCCTGTCGGTTGAGATTCTTCCTTTCATGTTTTCGTTCCATGATAAGCTTCACCCTGGGCGGCAACCATCACAAATCACGTCTGGAGTCGGACAACAGCAAGAAGGCAAAAGGTGCAAATGCACAAACGCGCCATAGCTTCAGCCAAGTAGCTCATCCCAATTGCCGTTGCAATCGAGCCAGGCACCAAACAAATCCGTCTTGGATTTGCTTGCGTAGGAACTCAGGCTGACGGGGAACTTCTGGCGATTCTTGATCGCCCGATCAAACACGGCCCATTCCTTTTTGTGCGTCGTACCTTAGAAGCACAAAAGACACACTGTCACTATACACATAGCCCCCTATAGTTTCAAGTTGCACAAGACATCAAACGACATTTCATCTGGGGAGCTGTTCCGCACTACTTCCTCCTCCTTCTCCGTGGCCTCCCTCAAGGAAGTTGGGTCGGGGGTCGGTTCGTCATCATCTCCAGACAAGGGCTCCCCGTCGGGGTCCTCGGATCCTTCCTCAGATGAGGAACCGCTTGGCATGTCTTCTTCATTCAGGTGGCACTCTTGCGACGGCAGGATTTCCTCCTCGGCTTCGGCTTCACATTCAGCGACATTCGGAGATGCCTCCGGCTCCCCTGCCTCCTCCGATTCCTCCTGTCCATCATCATCATCATCATCCTGGTCACCGAAATCCGCGGAACCTTCTGAAGCCATTGGGGAGCATGCAGCAAGTTCCTCGGCTGCTATCTGTGCCTCGATCAGCGCCACTTGATCAAAATCATTCTCGGACTCTCCGTCCTAGACACAGAATGCTTCAAAGTCATCATGCACCATAACACATGCGTCACGCTCTGCGGAAGTGCTTTGCACAACAAAGGAAACTGCACCCACCTCCTCGGACACGCGGGCTTTCTTGTGTTTGGCTTCCTTCTTGTCCTGGGCTTCCTTCTTGTCTTTGGCTTCCTTCTTGTCTTTGGCTTCCTTCTTGTCTTTGGCTTCTTTCTTGTCTTTGGCTTCCTTCTTGTCTTTGGCTTCTTTCTTGTCTTTGGCTTCCTTCTTGTCTTTGGCTTCTTTCTTGTCTTTGCTTTCCTTCTGGTCTTTGCTTTCCTTCTGGTCTTTGCTTTCCTTCTGGTCTTTGCTTTCCTTCTGGTCTTTGTTTCCCTTGTGGTCTTTGCTTTCCTTCTTCTGTTGCTGTGCTCCCTGGCCTGGGCCTTGCTGGGGTTTGGCCGGTTCAGGTCCCTTCGCCTTCGCTGGCGCGGGGTCTTGCTTGTCCTTCTTGTCTTTTGCATCTCTGCTCTCTCTGCCCTCCTTCTTCTCTTTGACTTGCTTCTCCTGCTGCGTCGTGCCTGCCTTCTTTTCCCTGCTCTCCTTCTTCTCTTTGTCTGTCTTATCCTCTTTTCTTGGCTTCTGGTCTTGGGCTTCTATCTCTCCCTTGCTTTCCTTCTTCGGCTTCTTCTTATTCTCCTGGTCTTTCGGTGGCACAGAAGACGCCGCCGCTGCTGCTTTCAGCAACTTTTCCTGCCGAGCCACTTCTCGATCGGATGGCTCGGCTTGCCTCTTTGCCTTCTCTGAGCTTTTGTGGCTCCCAGAACCAGTAGAGACCCGAGGCTTTTTTGCCGGCTCGCTTGCTGCATCTTTTGATTGCTGGCGTTTCGTAGAAACACGGTGGGTGACGTCTTTTCCCATGGCTGCAGCACTGCAGCACACTTGAAAAAAGTTATTCCAAGCCAAATGCTTAAGGACATGAGTGTTGCTTCAACATGCACAGAACGAATGCATTCCTGCTGCAGGCCCTCTCCCACAATCTCACTGCATCTCACTCGCACCTTTGCAAACGATGGACAGACAGACAGGCAGACCGAAACAGACAGCAGCGCTGGGCGGGACGGCTGGGCGGGACGGCTGGGCTGGGCATGGGCTGTGATGGTACATATAGAGACAGAGAGACAGACATGCATACGTATGCGTGATATAGAAGCAGCACGCACATGGCATATGTATATAATGCATGGATAATATGCACAGACCGTGATACTCTACTTTTATACATGCTATAGCTTCCATGTGTGCATATTACACATGTTATTAGGTTTGCTTCCAGTGCATGCAGGCAAATCAGGCAGCCCCAATTGAATTATACATATACTGTATTTTGCTTTCTAATATCAGTACATCTACAATTATGCAATCACAACTTTTTTTTGTTACATATATCTGTATATATAGATATAGACTCATACACTTCCTATACTACATATAAGCATAATACAGCAGTATGTATATATATATATACATACATTATATACATAATATTCAATGATAATGTTATAAAATTATAACTATATATATGTATATGCTTATAACTGCTACAAATCACGGCAGCACAAATCACGGCATCGGCTGCTACAAATCACGGCAGCGGTTTCTCAACAAATCACGGCAGCGGTTGCTACAAATCACGGCAGCGGCTGCTACAAATCACGGCAGCGGTTGCTCAACAAATCACGGCAGCGGTTGCTATAATCACGGCAGCGGTTGCTCAACAAATCACGGCAGCGGTTGCTATAATCACGGCAGCGGTTGCTACAAATCACGGCAGCGGTTGCTACAAATCACGGCAGCAGTTGCTAGGAATCACGGCAGCGGTTGCTACAATCGCGGCTGGTTGATAAAATTTTGTCAGCGGCTGCTACAAATCACGGCAGCGGTTGCTACAAATCACGCTCCTAGGAGCTATAATGTTGGCCGAAATCGCGGTTCATGGGTCGAGTTGTGGCCGTTCGGGGTTGCTTCGGTGTGGTTTCAGGGTGGCAAATACAAATCACGGCATTCCACGCCAAATCACGCTAGCGGTCACGCCAAATCACGGCATTGACTTTGCCGGTGTTGCAACCATTTTTGTTGGCTGTGTTTCGTTTCCGTTTCGTTGTTTTCCGTTCCCATCCCTCTGTGTAGCTCTCCTGTTCCGTCTCTGTCGATCTGCGCTCTCCCGTGTCCTTTCTCCTGGGTCCCCTGCCCGTTTCCTCTCTCCTCTCTCTTCTCTCCTCCCCCCCCCTTTGCCTCTCATGCTGTCCCCTCCCAGCATTCCCTTTACTCTCATGTATAACCATTCCATGCGTGCACAGAAGAGCATACTGAGACTGTCTGTGTGACATACATGGCACCCAATGCACCCAGCACGCTGCCTTGATCTGCAGCTTTGCATTCAGCCAATCGCAGACGGCCTTGATTCAATGTAAACCGCGGCATAGTCCTGCGTAGCAAGGCACCATGTTCTATTATCTATTCGATACCCACAGCTATATACAGGCACATCACCAGGCATGCATGCAGAAACCTTTCAGTGCAACATTTTCCGGTTGGCGCACCCCGACCATACTGCTTGCATGGAACTGCACACAGAGCTCGCGCTGCATGCTGCGTAGCAATTAAGGATGTACAAGTATTGCAGCTACTGCTGTTGTCGCAGGAAT